CGAATATTCGTCGTCTTTCAGTGACTGAATTCCTAAAGACTGCCATTTTTTGTCTTCTGCATATTCATCGTTTTATCGGTCCTTCGCTGGTTTAAGTTAGAAAATTCACGAACCCCTAGTTTTGTTCAAACTTAAATATCAGTTGCCATAGCTGCGGTCTGCTTTTCATACGGTATATTACTGATGCACTCTCATGAGTCACATCCCGTTTTGCAGAAACCACTGCTATGACTGATGCTGAATTTTGTAAGGCGTGCGATGCCATCTGTTCGGTGTCTTGGCCTTTCTCTTGGCTTCGAGAGTCTATACCAGAGTCTATGTTTCGTATGATTTGTAGTATTCTTGATTCGTCACTATTTTTTTTTTTCATTGGATGAATCACTAAATACCGTCGTTTTAACCCCTGAATGTTTTTCATAAATGAACCTTCAGTTCTAGATTGTTCTATGATCTACTTATGACAGTCCAGGGATATATCAAATATATTCGTAGCAGCTGCCAGAAATATCACCTTCAATGCTTTAAAGCAATTGCGTACTAACTGCACAATGGTGTATCCTTCGTGTCCATGATTCAGAACTTGTTATATTAAGCATTTAAAAAGTTTTGGTTTTTCGAAGTATCTTTTGGTTCGAGTTTGCAGCGTTCTTGTGATTTGTGTCATCCAATCTGTCACTGTTCATGTACTTTGACGAATACCTGTTTTGAGGTCACAAGGTCCCCCCAGTTCATATTAACAGTCACACAAAAATTGGCATAAAAGATGTTAAATTACACATTACGTAAACAGCTGATCTCTTGTACGAGAGAGTAGCATCATAATCTTGACCTCATGCAGAGCGATCTTCATTAGGGTAAAGTAGATAGCCTTCTACTGCTATTTCATTATTATTGCGTATTCTTCTGGTCAAAAGCGCTCCAGCTGCTGACTGCAAACAACGATTGGAGGCAATCCGTTTTAGTCTGACGAATGTCCAGGAAATGCGATCAGCAACGTTGTTCTAGGTCACTATGCCGATAGACTAGTTGTTTACACTGTGTGTAGGAAGACTGGATTCATGATACTACAAGGACTTGCCAAGCTGAACGTCAGTCATTGGAAGCTCAGTATGAAAGCCATCTCTGACTATTCCCAACATTTTAAGCTTAGATAACGCATAACTTGTCCCAAATCACGGTGCACTGCACGAATCGACTGCTCCTAGTTTCTTTGAGGGCCATTAAACAAGTCACAGCTCCGTGGTGGTTTTACACCTGTAGTGCTAGATACATCATCTCATTTGCTAGAAACATAGAATTCATTATGAATAATGTTCCAGGAGCTGGTACTCCTCGTATGCTACCGCATAAATATCGACATACGTTACGTCGAAACATGTCTTTGTCATATTGAATTTGAGACCAACGTTTCGCTCCAAATGTCAACTTTCTCATCTCAGCTACTGCAAATTGGTTGGAGATATGGTACATTACTTGGCAGGCAACTAGTATTGCATCATCCGGGTATCACAGATTCACCATAAGCTTTCCTCCAATTTTAAAGCCTTTAGCTAAACTCTTCATCGCGTAACAGCGTTAAGAC